CCAGGCGCCGGGTAAATCTGTCACAAAAGTCAGCCAAGTATGCTTCTCATGGCTTTGGGAATGCTAGTTTCCTAATATTCTTTCAAAATCAATCTTAAAAGAAACTGCAGAATATTTTTCATGGGAATTTTGGTGTCGTTCTTAGAGTAACACATTTTTCTTCTTCTGCTACTCAGACTCACCAAAGGCGTAAGATTTTTGTTGTTGTTGTTGTTCTGAGACAGTGTCTTTCTATGCAATTGAGGCTGGCCCCGAACTCACTGCGCAGCCCATGCTGTCCTCAAACTCATCATGATTCTCCAGCTTCGGCCTCCCTTTCGAGTGCTGGAATTACAGGACTGTGCCACCACATTGGGCTTGCAGATACTGGATGTGTGGACTCTTCCAATCTACAGCATAGAAAATATGATGCCAGTGGTTGCTGAAAATGCTGCTGCTGCTGCTGCTGCTGCTGCTGCTGCTGCTGCTGCTGCTGCTGCTGCTGCTGCTGCTGTGGAACAGCAGAAATAGAGTCACTGTCTATTGTAGAGTCATTGTCTGATGCCGAAAGCAACACAGTCTTCATCTGGTCTATGAAGATCGATGGCACGGATTCAAATTCCACCTGTGCCATTCTCTAGGCATATTAATGCTGACATAAGTTCATGTATTCATCCAATAGGAATGTAATGGTTCCTACCACAGAGGACTTTGGCAACAATCAGCTAATATAGTACATGTGAATTTCTCTAGTTAACATTTATTGCATTTATTGTGAGTCTAACAATATACTAATACTGGTCTTACTGATAAGGAAAATAAAAGATGTCACTCGGTTTTTTTTTTTCCTTTGCAATAAATTGCTTTGCCCGTTTTTACTGAGTCTAATTGTAGGTCACATTTTATATACATGAAATAATAACCCTGGAGACACATGAGTGGAAGACACTGTGCCACACTTAAAAACAATCTGCCTGTAATCCCAGCACTCGGGGGGCTGAGACGAGAGGAGCACTGCCAGTTTGAGGCCAGCCTGGGCTACAAAGTGAGCTCAAGGCCAGCCTGAACTGCATAGTTTGAGGACAGGGTCTCAAAACAGACCAAAAAAGAAGAGAAAAGGAAACAATCCATACAGGTTCAAATGATGAACCAAGTGGGACTCCATTGGCCTCTGGGAGATTTAATAATTTCAATCCTGTTCATTATTTATGCAAATCTGATATATTAATAATGTTTGTTTCTTTTGTAAACAACAAACAAATTTTCAGGAACTTTCACATACTTTTGAGGAAAGCTCCAGACATGCTAAACTCCACTAACATCCGAGTTCAAGTCTTAGGTACAGAGAAAGGTACTTCTTTCAGACAACACCTAACAAATTACACCTAATCTACATTATGAATTTCATAAATACTTCCTGGAAAGTCATTTAACTGACACATATGCACGTATACGCACAGAGGTATTGGAACAAACAGGTTTATTATAGCACTGCACATATACACATAAAAGATAATAAACACTAATCTGTAGAGAACAGGCTATATTAAATCATGGTACTCTAAAAAAGTCTGAATTAAATCTTTGTGCTGTGATATGAAACATTTCTAATATTAATAAATGAAATAAAGCCACATGTGATGGCACACACCTGTAATCCCAGCACTCAGAAGGCTGAGGCAGGAAGACTGCTGTGAGTTCAAGGCCAGCCTGGGCTACATAGTGAGACTCTGTCTACAGTAAAACAAAACAAAACACAAAAATTTACTGAGACATCATGAAGCTAATACAAATTACCTTTGGCCTCTACAATTACAAGAGGTGCTCACAGTGGACATTTGTATTTTTCTTTTCCTGAAATGGGTATACGTTTTGTGGCAGCCTCAAACAAATACACACTTCAGGAAAAGAAAAACAGTATGATATTTTTCAACAGATGGTGTTACAATCCCCTACGGGGATCCTAGAAGTTGCTGTATATCACAGAAACTCCTACACTGCCTGCCCTCAGAGAAGAAACTGAAACTACACAGCAGAACCTCAGTGGCCAAGGTTACCCACCCAGCACCCCACCGTGCTCATACGTGGCTGGCTGCTCATGGCCCCCCATGTGAGCTCCTCTTGTAATTGCAAAGGCCAAAGGTAGACTGTATGAATCTCACAATGCCTCAGTAAATTTAAAACTACAGTATTAAACAAGTTTTTTATTTTATTTTATTTTATTTTATTTTATTTTAGGGAAGAGTCTACAGGGTGTTCAGGGTCTCACTACTAGATCAGACTCATAGCGATCCGCCTTTCTACAGGTTCACAAGAGCTGGGATTATAGTCGCACGCCACCATGTCCAGTCTCAACTACAGCCTCAGTGCACCCTGGGGGTGGGGCTAGCACAGCAGGTACGAGGATCAAACCCCAGCCCCTGTGCCTGCTTGCAGGCACTTTAATCCACTGAGCTATTTGGTCGGCCCTAAACAAGTTTTTCTTTCCCTGAAGTGTGCATATGTTTTTTGGCAGATACTGTATGTCTGTGCTTATATGCATAAAATAATTTATTGATTAGGTCAAGAGCACTTCAGGCGCTTTAATTTAAATGGCTTATTGACTTTGACTCCAAAATATAGTGACTGAACATAGAATGGATAGTAGACAAACTAATCATATCCATACTGCACAGGAATCAAAACGAAGCTCCAAGTCCCGTAAGATTTAACAATGCCTAATATGGCAAACTTCAAACAAAAGGCTCTGGATAATCTCTAGGAGTTGGGTGTAAGAAGATCAATGATTACATAATCTTAGGGAAGCAAAAGCACATAGGTCAGTGGTTTCCAGATTCCTTCTGCTATCTCAGGAGTGGGGAGGCTGCACAGCTATGCGCTCCTTTGTGGCCCTGCCCATGAGGGGAGAGAACACAGGATCTTCTTTCTGATGTCTCAGACCTGAGAAAATTGAAAGTTTTTACAAAGCATTAGTTAATAGTATTGTATATTCACTCACTTTGGTATTCTGACCAAATCTACTGGAAGATAGTTAGGCCTCACTATTATAAAGAATAGAAGATTCTATGATTGTTTTATCTATCAAAACTCCCTAATGGGGCTGGTCTGATAGCTCAGCAGACTAAGGCGCCTGCTTAGGCAGAGCATAGTGTCCGGGGCTCAGTCCTTGACGTGCTGTGCTGGCCCCACCTCCAGGGTGTGCTGAGATGGGGATTGAGACTGGGTGTGGTGGTACACACCTGTAATCCCAGTGTGTGGCAGGCTGAAAATAGGAGAATTACTATGAGTCCGATCTATGTAGAGATGCTGTAGACCTTCTCCTAAATACAGAAAGAAAAAAAAACCTCCTTAATGAAAAATAGTATCTGAAAAAATCAACAAACCTCAGATAAAATGATCAAATCATAGAATGATAGTTTGAAAAAGAGAAATTTGCTTTGCTAAAGGAAAATGAGGACCAAAACAGCATGAGTTCACAATAAATGAATTGATAATAAATAGTACCAGAAGTATTAAGCACAGGAAAAACTATTATAGAGATAACTGCAATGAAAATTAAAGCAACTAGAGAAGGGCTAATGACTATGGAAAATAACAGAAGAATAACAGGTCTTCACGAAAAAGAGGACCCAAGAAGGCAGGAATGATGGTGTGTACCTGTTATCCCTGCACTCAAGAGGCTGAGGCAGGAGGATCGCTATGAGTTCAAGACCAGCATGGCCTACATACTGAACTCAAGGCCAGTCTGAACTACACAGTGAGACCTTATCAAAAAAAAGAAAAGGGGGGGGGGAATACAAAGACATTTATTCATGAATTATTTCTGAAATGAACTAAAGCTAAATTTGAGAAGAACCGTCAGTCTAAAAGCAAATTAATGAATCAAAACAATGATTTTCTTTCTGGCATCCAAGTTTTATAAGTAAACTATCACCAAAGGGAGAGAATTTAAGGCTGTCTCCAAGAGGCCTTCAATGACTCTTGTTTCTTGGTGTTCACATCCTTCTGTATGCCTCTCCCTTTTTTAAATTTTGGTATGGGGATTGAACTCAAGACCTTGTGCTTGCCAGGCAAGCACTTATGCCACTGAGCTATATATCCAGCACTCTCCCTATTTTAACAGAGTGATCGCTGTGCTCTGCAGACTCCTGCTGGATTAGTGGCACAGCACTCTCAATGCTAGATTGTACATGCCTGTATTCCCAGCACTCGGGAGCTGAGGCAGGAGAATCTCTGTGAGTTCAAGGCCACCTGCCCTACCCAAGCACATTCAAGGCTAGCCTGCACTACATAGTGAGACCCTGCCTCACAAAAACTAAATAAAACAGAACAAAAGACCAAATTACAAAAGACATCGCAACAGTCAGTGGCGCATTCATTCTCCTTTGACCAGTCATTGCTCTGGGTTCAGTCAGCTGCCAGGCAAATGCCAACACGATGAGGAACTGAAGTCACACCAACAGCCAGTGAGCAGCAGCCTGCTTCCCGGCAGCTCCTCCAGCCTAATCAGCCCAACATCGAACGCAGCGTCACGAGAGAGCCTAAGCGAGACCATGAAACTAAGCCGCTCCCAGATTCCTGACCCTTAGAAGCTGTACAGCAATAGGTTTGCTAAGTGGCTAAAATTGTATGTCATTTGTTTCATTGTAATAGACAACCAAAACAATCTTAAGGGCCAGCCAGATAGCTCAGTGGACTAAAGCGCCTGCTTAGGAAGGCACAGGGACCGGGGTTCGATCTGTGACGTGCTGTGCCGGCCCCACCCCTGGGGCATGCTGAGGCAATTGAGACTGGGCGTGGTGGCGTGGCTGTAATCCCAGCGCTTGGGAGGCTGAGAACAGGAGGATCACTATGAGTCTAATCTAGGTAGCGAGACCGTGTACCAAATACATTAAAAAAAAAAAAAAAAAGTGGTCTCG